CTGTAGTTCCTGGCTTGATGGCAAGGCCAACCTTCATCCCATTCTCCCAAGTGTCTTTAACCAAAGCCCCTGGGTTCTCGGTAGCCTCGCGATGAAAGGCATACTGATTAGCTCCTGCTACAGCCATTGGCTATACCCGCTGTTCCGGCCTCGCCACCATCATGTGCATGACAAAGAAAGGGTCCTGGCCAAGCTGCTTTCAGAGGCATTCTACCACACGGCGACCAAAGGTGACGCTGGGAACAAAATGCCCGTCCATTACATCCAGGCGCAGATAATCGGCCTCAGAGACCAGCATTCGGAGGCACTCGGCCCCTAAACTGGCCAGGTCGCTGTTGAGGATGGACGGTCCCATCTTGCCATGGTGCCAGACGCCATGGTGCTGGTTCCCAAGAGCAAGTTACCTCATGAGTCCAGAACCCACCTTTAAACATGGGTCTGTTTGAGGTTCCTATACTTTTACCTTTTCCAGGATGCCATATAAGTGGATCACCATGTCGTATTTTAAGTCCTGTTTAGAAAGTTTGACACCACGTTTGTAGAGGTACAAAATTATACAAGGCTAGCAGTGTTCTTCTGAGATTAAAATTTTTCACACTGCACAGTAGAGGGACATATGCCTGCAGAACTAAGAGATTCAACTATTATGACCTACATAAATTCGGGTGAGACTTGGGGTTAGCTTTCATGTGCATGGAATGATGGGGCAGGGGATCACAGGAGATACCAATAATTATAAACCACATAGGCTCTCCACTGCTAGGAAAACATAAATTAGCACTGAAAAAATAAAAGGGACCTGGTCTGGGTCCTTTGCTCTTCAATGAAATAAAAGCCATCACCTTTTACTCCATGTTCCTTAACATCTCCGGGAAGTGTAAACATGGTAATGATCCCTGAGAACAGCAAAAATGAGCATGGAAGGCTGTGTGCCTTCCACTGAAACAAAAAACTTCCAGCTACTCCTCATAAAAAGCCACAGGAAATTTCCCATTTTGAGGAAATCAAATATACTTCTGTTGCTGATATTGTGTGTCTGCAGTTCACCTCAAGTTTTCCTTAGCTCATTGTCTTCTAAACATTGATAGCTTCCTGGTGTTTTACCCAGGAAACCACATTGGACTTGCACAGGAATCACTCTACTCATAGAAAACCATGATGGGCTACCACTGGGCAGATGATTATAACTCTTAAACTGGGAGGAATTCAAAGGTTTCATAAGGTACACAAATTGTGTCAGTCTGAATAGCAGCAAAATATGCCATTTCAAAAGTGAATTGTTTCAATTGGTGTTAAATAGAAATATCAATACCACAAATAACATGGCCTAAGGCACTGAGAAATCCTTCATGCCACATACCCACAGCCATACTAATAATCAAATAGCACATGCTCTAAAACTTAGAACCATGCCTCTACCTGTCTGGAAAACCACTGTGGTAAATGCCACGAAGGCAGTATTTTGGTATTGTTGTGCATTGCTTAAACCCACACTTAAGGAGATCTAGTCTTTAACACGTATTAAATGGGGAAAAGATGATCAATGATGACAACGCCATTCACTGGTGCCCCTACCCCACATAATGAAGATATATAATCCACCCCAGTTCCCTACTGTCTCACCTGTCAGTGTTTCCTTACCTGCAATAGCTTTATACTTAAAAAACAAAGCTTTCTCATTTAAACATCTTTTTCCACAAAAACAGAAGCACCAGAAGTGCAAGAACTTTTTTCCTTCATACCTGTATATGCCCAGCCTAGTTGTGCTAAGTATGTGTGGCTCAGTGGTTAGACTGTCATGCAGCAGACTGAAGGGTCCTGAGTTCAATTCCAGCCAAGGGCAGGTACCTTGGCTGCAGATTCGATCCTTGGCCCCAGTCAGAGTGCATGTGGGAGGCAACCAATCAATGTCTCACATCCATGTTTCTCTGTCCTTCCCTCTCTCTGAAAAACAATGGAAAAAATAGCCTCAGGTGAGAATTTAAAAAAATAAAGTAAATTAGGTGTGTTCCATTAAACTGCCTGGCATGTGCAGTATGTTGAAAAATTAACATCAAGATCACACTTTCACCTGGCCAGGTAGCTTAGTTGGTTAGAGTGTTGTCCCAATATGCCAAGGTTACAGGTTCAATCCCAGGTCACACACAAGAATGAACCAATGACTGCATAAATAAGTGAAACAGATTAATATTTTTCCCTCTCTTGAATCAATTTTTTTAAGTAAAAAAAAAAGTCATACTCTCAGCAAGAATCATTTCATTGGAAGACAGTCTTTGTTTTCTTCCTAGGTTTGTATCTTTGTCAATATTCCTAAATTTATAAACCTCAGTTGAATCATAAAGAAGGTAACAAGTATCATTTATCTTTAGGAGTATGTGATAATACATATATATTTAATAAATATATATATTTATTTAACTGAGGTACTTTTTAGAAATGCGTCCAATACACTATAGGAAATATTTTCCATATTTAGATAACAAGAAAAGCAAAAGCTGTTACAGACAACTGGTTGCTGGCCTTGCACTCCCTGCCAGCCCTAGATATATCTTGTTGAAAAGAAAAATGTCACACGTGTCCGTCATCACACGAAGCTACTCCATGGCCACAGTGACTCAGGATAAAAGCAAAGGCATTCACGTCTAGACGTGATGGAAGACAACAGGTTTCCAAAGAGTGAAAATAACAAACATTCCCCTTGTCTCACTATTATGATTTATGCGTCTTACGATTTAGGTTTAGTATTATTTTTTTCTGCCTTCTAAGTAAAAATGAATATCATCACCCAAGGTAGAATTAAATTCATTTCCTCTCAGAATCCAGTGCAGAAAGATGTCTTGCTTCTCTCAATGGCAATCACATCATCTGACACAAGGCAAAATACAACCAGCAATCCTGTTAGGTGTGGTTACTGTTACACGCCACAGTCACGTATGGTCCCTGGTCATTCCTATTATGTGAATTCATTTCATTACATCCCTTTTTACTACAGATGTGATTTGGTTGGTCTTTGGCTAGAGGGGACTAAGAAAACCATGNTCCCAATACCATTTACTGAATAGACTGTCTTTACCTTACTATACGCTTTTCAACATTTGTCAAGTATTAATTGACCATAAAGGTGTGCGTTACTGAGCTCTTTGTTCCGTTCTATTGATCTATATGTCTGTTCTTATGCTGGGTGGAAGGGGGCAAGCGGCTAAAAATGGAGGACATCTGTAATACTTTCAACAATAAAGATAAATAAAAATAAATTAAAACCATCTGATCTTGTGTGTTACTTAAGGCCATTATTTCCTTGTTGGTTTTCTGTCTGGAGGTTCCTCCATTGATGTCAATGTAGTGTTAAAATCCCCTACTCTGATTGTCTCACTCTCAATATCTTCTTTTATGTACATCAATATGTGCTTTATATAGATAGGTGCTTCTATGTTGGGTGTATAAATATTTACAAGGGTTATATCCGCTTGTTGGATTGCTCTCTTTATCATTATGTAGTGTCCTTTTTTTGTCTCTTTATAACCTTTGTTTTAAGGTTTATGTTGTCAGATTTAATATTGCTACCCTAATTTTTTTTCCATTTCAATGCACGAAATATATTTTTCCACCCCTTTATTTTTATTCCGTGTTTATCTTTTTTTCTAAGGCGGGTCTCTTATAGACAGCATATATATGGGACTTGTTTTCTTTTGATTGGAACATTTAAGTCACTTACATTTAAAGTGATTTTTTTTCTTTAATAAGTACAGAAGCATTTATTAGAGGGAAAACACACATAATTTTAATTACATACAACCAAAGGTAACTGAAAACATTGGAAGATTAAACGCAGCTCTGAGTTACAGGAAACATCCAGACTAAGCCTGAAACGAAGTAAGTGCTGTTCTCACGTGGAAGGACCGCCTCAGACGGGGACTGCCCAGTGTGGCAGAAGAACAGACTGTTATGCGGCTCCTGGGCACTGCGCCACTGTAGCTGTCACAGTGGGAGCTGAATCACAGTCAGCAGTAATAGCAACAGGCCAAGATGGTTACTAGTCAAATTAGACCTAATACAAATACTACCTAGAGAAGGGTCCCCGCCCTTTACAAAACAGTCTCAACCATGGCGGTCTACACCTGTTGCCACCATGTGATGGACACCTATGGGTTTGCAGGAAAACCCAACCTAGGCGGGATCTTTGCTGTTGAATTCTGCACAACTGTAAAGCTTACACCTGACATCAATGAAGTGACGGGGTCACTGGTGGTCTTCAGGATACTCTTGGCTGGCGGGGCAAAGACTGAGGAAAACAATCTAAAAGCAAAGGTACACAAGAGCTCTATGCTTCTGTCTGTCTCCTTTACACAAGTGGCTTCAAAGCCAGTCTAATCCTATTTCACTTCTGCACTCAAGTTTCATGTAAGTTAGGCCTTGGTGATTTCTAACCCCGAACCAAAAAGGCCATAGATTGTGGAAAGTATTCTCTTCTTAATGCAAACTCCATAGTCCAAATCCCAGCCAAAAGCAAAGATAAAAAGCAAAGGACAATACATAAAACAATTCACATGGACTCTACTCTACAATGACCTTTGTGTATGTACATATACATGGTAAATACTTATTGAATAAAATAATACTGAGTATCAAGTGTAATAGAAAAATTAAAGACATCTACTGACAAGGAAATGAAGTAAGGCTCTTCAGGCCAATGAAAAGGCACTTTTGTGTTAAGATGATATATGTGGGTGAGGCATTCAATACTTGCCACAGGAGGCCAGCAGGAAAAAAATGAACAAATATCCAAGTATCATTTTTCAATGTTCCTTTTCATACAGAACTACAAAATTCCTTAAGTTAAACCTGCCTGGCCAGCATGGCTCAACGACTGAGCATCAACCTATGATCCAGGAGGTGACGGTTAGGTTCCCGGTCAGGGAACATGCCCGGGTTACGAGCTCAATCCCTGTCAGGGGGTGTGCAGGAGATTGCCGATCAATTACTCTCTCATCACTGATGTTTCTCTCTCTCCCTCTCCCTTCCTCTCTCTGAAATCAATAAAGACACATTTAAAAAAAAGTAAAACCTACTTGCATATTAGTAACCCACTGCCATTCACCCATGGCTGTAATAAACTTCAATACTGAAACACAAAATGTTTATTAACTAACTAAAAGGAAAAAATACCTATAAACATGGAAACTCTTGTTAAAGAGAACCTACAGAATTATATTACTTCAGTGTTTATCTGCATAAGTAAGTGGAACACCATACGAAGGAGAATCACTTTAAGAATGAGTCCATGATAATGACCATATATGTCTAACATTTATAGCATTTCTTTCATGTTGTGAAATTTGGGGAGTATATGAATTAATTTACACCAGGCTTTCAAGTACTAGTTATAGTAATATGATTTCCTTCCAGTGCAGTTTTCAAGCTACTCTGAAAGCATGCTAACAATTAAAAGGTTGTCTTCATTGTCAGTTATACTGTATCTATCCAGTGTACATTCTCACAGGGTACTGTAGTGCTATCAGGCAAAATGAAGGTTTTCCTATATTCTTTACATTCAATAGAATTCTCTCCACTGTTAGCTTTTTTCATGGCATTTCCAAGGAAAAGGGACAGCTAAAGGCTTTTCTATATTCTCTACATTTATACACAATCTCTCCATGTCATTCTTACATGTCCATGAACGGCTCTCCCACATTCCTTATATTCATAGATTTTCTCTTAGGCATGAGTTCTTTTAAAATTTTATAAAGAACTGAGATGACTGAAGAAGACCCTTCTACAATCTTTACATTGACAGGGCTTCTCTTCAGTGTGAGTTCTTTCATTCTCTAAACTGGGAGAAATTATTGCTTTCTAACACTCTTTACATTTCTAGGGTCCATCTCCAATCTGGATTATCATGTGATTGCAAAGCTGAGACAAATGAAGGTTCTCCCACACTCTTTACATTAACAGGGTTTATCTCTACAATGTTTTTTCACATGTCTACGGAAACTACTTGAGAAACTGAAGGTTTTACCACATTCCTTGCATTTGTAGGACTTTTCTCCACTGTGTGTTCTTGCATGTGCTCTAAAGTACATGGGAGAACTAAAAGCTTTTCCACATTGCTTACATTGATATGGTTTCTCTCCACTATGAGTGTTTTTGTGAATCTGAAAGTATTTTGGANATGAGTGTTTTTGTGAATTTGAAAGTATTTTGGACAACTAAAGGCTTTCCCACATTGTTTACATTCATATGGTTTTTCCCCAGTATGACATCTTTCATGATATTTAAGGGAAGAGGGATAAATGAAAGATTTCCCACATTCCTTACATTCATGAGGCTTCTTTCCATCATGAGTTCTTTTATGATTTCCAAGATATCTGAGACAACTGAAGGCTTTCCCACATTCCTTACATTCATGAGGCTTCTTTACATCATGAGTTCTTTTATGATTTCTAAGATATCTGAAACAACTGAAGGCTTTACCACATTCCTTACATTCATAGGGCTTTTCTCCACTGTGCAGCGATTCATGACTTCGAAAGCTTTTTCGACAGCTGAAAACTTTCCCACACTCCTTACATTCAAAAGTGTGCTTGATCATGTGTCTTTGAAACATGGTGAGAGAACTCAAGGCTTTCCCACACTTCTTACACTCACACAGATTCTCTTGACTATGAGTTCTTGCATGTCTATATAAGATACTTAAATAACTTAAGGCTTTACCACATTTTGCATATTCATAAAATTTTTTTCCAATATGAATACTTGTATGATTTCCAAGGGACCCTGAGGAGCTAGTTTTACCACATTCCTTAGATTCATNCGTTCATAAAATTTTTTCCCAATATGAATACTTTTATGATTTCCAAGGGACCCTGAAGAACTAGTTTTACCACATTCCTTAGAGTCATAGGATTTATCATGCGTTCTCCCATGTTTATATAAGTTACTTAAATAACTGAAGGCTTTACCACATTTTGTACATTCATAGGGCTTTTCTCCACTGTGCTTCCTTTCATGTATTCGAATATATTGGCGATACTTGAAAGCTTTCCCACATTCCTTACATTTATAAGGCTTCTCTTCATATTCCTGACACTGGTTCAGTTGGGGTCCAGTGTGAGAGCTCATGTGGTTATTAAAGGATAAATAATGCATGAAGACTTGTCTACACAACCTGGATTCAGGCAGTTTTACTTCAGTAGGAGTTTTCTTCTTCTCATTATGATTTGGAATCTGGCTGAAGGTTTCTCTACAAAGACTACCATCCTTCCTTTTACAGAGACTTTCTACCATATGACTGCTGCAAAAATCAGAAGCATATTATTAATATTTTGTACATTCAGGACTTAAATTTATTAAGAGTGTGACAATGAAATTTTTATCATTTTCAAGGAAAGTGTGCGGTTTCTGTACATTCTGATTTTTTGAAAGTAGACATCCCAAAAGTTCGGAAACAGGGCTCAATCATAGATATTATGAAAACAGTAAAATTCATTAATGGTGTTTTTATATACTACTTCCAAATGTATTCATTTTTATGCACTAACAACTAGGTCACATTTGAGAAAATATTTTGATGAAAATATTCGCAGAATCAGTAAATTTGAAGCTTGACTGATATGACTGAATTGCCTGTTTTTAAAATTTGATTACATATTAAGCTTCTTTTGTGGGACATTGCTTTCTCATGCCAGGTGTGACTCACCTAAGATTTACTCCATAATTTTCATAGTGATCTTCACTGTCATGGTCATCACATTTTTCTTCCAAAATACATACTAGAAAAAAGCATCATAAATTATTAAAGAATATAAAAAATGGTTAGATTTGAGGTCCATGATGAAATGTGATCATGCCCAATTTAATTATCAATGTATTCCCTTTCCACATTTCAGCTCTTGAAACAGCACTGATGAGCAAGCAACATTAGTGTTCTAATTGGCTAAATAAGCAAGTAAGAAGTTGTCATCACTACCTATTGATGCCAGGTTCCAGAAGGTTTCCTGCATCACATCTCTGTAGAGTTTCTTCTGGGTTGGATCCAGGAAAGCCCACTCCTCCATGGTGAACTCCACATTAACATCCTCAAAGGCCACTGAGTCCTAAAACATCCCACACATGTATACAGAAGGATGGGTGAGACAGATAGCACTGGGGATCTATACATAATTCATTCGAAGTTCACATATGACATGTGGTCCCCAACATTCATTCTATGATTTGGGTGTCAGACTATTATTTATTGGCCACACTCACTTCCTCATGAACACATGGAATTTATTGCTACCTTTTTTATTTTAATCATTTCAAGTCTTCATCTAATGTCAGGGTAAAGAGCACTTTGAAGATATTCTATACAAGTAACAAAATATATATGCACAGCTGGTGTGGCTCAGCAGTTGAACATCACCTATGATCCAGGAGACTGAGGTTCATTTCCCAGTCAGGGTACATGCCCAGGTTGCGGGCTCAATCCCCTTGAGATGGGGGGCTTGCAGGAGGCAGCTGATCAATGACTCTCTCATCATTAATGTTTCTCTCTCCCTCCCTCCCTTCCTCTCTCCGAAATCAATAGACTTTTTTTTTTTTAAACAAATATCAAAATATATTTCTATTTTAAGCAGATCGATCCCTGGTGACAAAACTCATTTCCTTTAAAACCAACATATGATGCAGCACTCCATGAAGCACACTGTCATATCTGCATGAAGTTTTAATGACTATGAATAAAATAAAGGCATGGAAACTTTCTCTTGTATTCGTATCACAAACAGAAGAGGCCAGGAGGTCTGTGAAAATTCAACTTGTAACAAAATGCAGTTGACCATATTGTCCTAGAATACTCCAGATTATTAGAAGTAGTCAGATCCACCTGACTGAAACTATTCTTGTGGAGGAGTATGAATTATAATTTGTTTACATAATATTTATTAATGAGTCAGGTTGACCTTCTTTTGTCTGTCTCATTTCATGGAGCTAGGAAGTTATCAGAGTTAGAGCTCAGGCATGAGGAAAGCTGGTCAACTTAGACCGCTACAAAATTCCTATACTCATGAGCCTCCAGGCTACTCCATACCAATTTTTAGGACACATAGACACATGCATTGAAATGATAAGATCACACACAAAAAAAGTCTTTCTGGAAGAACTGTAACAGTGTAACCTGGGCCTTGACCTTGAGGAACAATTTAAGACTTGGCATGTGCAAGCCCATCATTGAAATACACAATATTTTCATGTTGAATCGGCACATGATTACAAAATACATAAGGTACCAGGGGTGTATTGAAAATATCAGGGGTAAAACTTTCTAAAGATTTGTGTAACCACTATGTTCTATACATGAAACTAATACAAAATATAATTAAATGTAAACTGTAATTGAAATGTAAAGTATAATGAAAGCATATATGGTGTTCATGGATAGGAAGAATTAATATCATTAAAATGTCCATACTACCCAAAGCAATCTATAGATTCAACACAATTCCTATCAAGATACCAATCGTATACTTCACATAACTAGAACAAATATTCCAAAAATGTATATGGAAGTACAAACCACCCTAAATAGCTGCAGCAATCTCGAGAAAGAAGAACAAAGCTGGATGAACCACACTACCTAATATCCAACTATACTCAAGGCCATAGTAATCAAAACAGCATGGCACTGGCATAAAAACAGACATATTGGTCAATGGAACAGAACAGAGATCCCCGAAATAAACCCATGCCTTTATGGTCAACTAATACTTGACAAAGTAGGCAAGAACATACAATGAATAGACTGTTTTAGTCTATTCGATAAATGGTGTTCAGGAAATTGGACAAATACATGCAAAAAACCAAAGAAACTAGACCAGCTTCTTACACCATACACAAGAATAAACTCAAAATGGGTTAAAGACATAAATGTAGCCCTAGCTGGTTTGGCTCAGTGGTTAGAGTCTCGGCCCATGGACCGAAAGGTCCCAGGTTTGATTCCAGCCAAGGGCACGTACCTTAGTTGCAGGTTCTGCCCCGGTCAGGATGCGAGAGGGAGGCAACCACTCAAAGTGTCTCTCTCACATCGATGTTTCTCTCTCTCTCTCCCTCTGTTCCTC